ACATTTATCTAAATTCATGTGAAAATAGGAAACAAAGAATGTACCAGTAATTCTTTTGAAATTTGAACATATTATCAATAGAAGCATTCAGAACACCATTAATAATATGAAGCTCATTGAGATGATTTTTGCGAGCTGCACGGAACGCAGCACATTTTGTTAATAAAGCTGGATGAATATCTTTCCGCAGACCCTCCGCAATAACCTGCAATTATCAAACGGGCAATCATAAGATGTAATACAGTACATTGTGGCACCTAAAAAATTTTTAATTTCATCTCAAAGTACAGCTACTGTTACACACAATATATTCGAACTAATAGATTCTGTAGATCTACTTGAACTGTAAAGGTGAATAAATTATATATGAAAAATAATACAACCTTTTCTCACATTTCCAAAAAAAAATTTTATGATATCAAAGTTTTATTAAATATCAATAACCTCGTGTTGACCGGCGAGACTTTCAACTTCATGCAGGATGGAGTGAAACGAACTGATAAAGGTATATGCTTTAAATGACTCTTCATCTTCCTTTTTCTTCCCCAAATTTTTTTTCACCAAAGCTCTGCAAAAATAAGTGGCATTTTCTAATTTGAAATGTTCCAAAACATCTAAAAACATTAGCACTACACCCCTTGCAACTCATGAAATATTTAAGTGAATTACGGAAATATAATCTGAAGGCGAGTGATAAGCTTGAAGCAGAAAAGATAATGGAGATATAGCATATCCGAATAATAAATTGCCGTTCAAAAGATTCAAAATGAACCTCACCTCAATTTAGCTGCATATTCATCCTCAATCGCAGCTCTTTCTTTCAGGAACATTCCATATTTTTCTAAACTTTCAATACCTTTTTGCGTATGAGAAGCCAGAATATCTATCTGATCCTAAATCATATGATTTCTAGTTAATTTATCAAAATTGTTTTTTAAAGTTGAAAAAATGATTTCCCAGGTCTTCCTAATAGGAACAAAATCATATCCAATAATCTTTGTTTCATTCCTAATATTATTCATTTCTTTTCTTTCAGCTATTTTTTTGAAATTTCACGCAAAATATCTTTTACCCATAAATCGGCCCAGCTTGCCGCAGTGGATGTAGCCATTATCGGGTACAATATTGCCCATCAAACGTTACACACTGTAATATGGTGCATATTGTAAGTGAGAAGACATCGCAAAGAATATATTATTGAATTATAACGATTACATGCTCAGTAAGGCTTAATAATTAATCTGCCATTGTAATATAACGAAAAAATCGATCATATAAAAAAATATATTTCATAAATTTGGAAAGATTTGAAACAGCTTCAAGCAGAATAAATTATTCAGACGAAAATGCAGAAATTGTAGCATCATTTGGATTAAACTTTAAGAAGAAATCTCAATGAACCTGCTGTGATAAACTGTATTTGAAACTGCAAATTTTCTCATAATATAGGCACATGCATGCGTATTTTTTTGCATGTGCAAACACTTTCTTGCGCATGCACATGCATCCATTGAAAGAAAAAATGAACAATCTTACTATCAATCGATTATCATTGAAACTCTTTGTCAACTAACCTATAATTCCCTGAAATACCATCTTTTATTATTAATTGATGGTATACAAAAGAAAACTTATCTGTATTAAATACTTCATTATGCACACCGTACTAAAGATAACTTAATTCCAAAAATAACTCAGCTATTAATTTACATTTCTAGCAATAAATATCAATTCACACAGATTTTAGTTTTAGCTTACTTATGTTATGTTACAAAAAAACGATTTATGAGCTCAAGTAAATTTTCTACAAATTTCTTTCGACGAGAAATATATTATAATGTAAGGGAATTTTCCTCAGTGATATTTACCAGCAACAAGCACATTCCTACAGGAAGAATAAATCAATGGTTTATGATCGTAATCAACGTGATGTAATTCGAACAACACAAACAACTATTCCTGTTTTTTACGAATGTAACAGCAATAATAGTTGGTTACTTACTCTCAGTCAGGTGTGTAATCTCTACCCAATTTCATCCCTTCTACATAAATTGAAAGGGACAGACAGACGGACAAAATAGGAAAACATACGGAATTAGACGAATAAACTTGTACGTATACACATACATACAGACAGAAAGAGAAGAATTGATGATTATTGGGCCAGCCGAATCGATAGCCGAAAGGAGCCAGTCAATGACGTGCGAACAGTTAGCAAGAAGAGGGAAAGAAGATGAGCACGAGATTCTCTCTTGTCCTATCGAGGGTAGGACATTTTCTCTCCCTCTCTTTGTATGTCCCTCGAAAGAGAACGACATCTCAGTCATCATTTCATTTCTGCCTCAATCCCTCCGTTCTGATGACTCACCTCCTTCCTCTCTCTCTCTCTCTCTATATTTCTTAATTTTTTCCTCATTATCCTTCTCTCATGTAAGTGGATATATTTCATTATAACAAAAAAAGATTACTCCTGCATAATTAATCTCTGTATGATAAGTCGGAGAGAAGAGTGAGAAAGAGAAAGTAAAAATGTGCGACTCGATTGTAATGTTCATGTCCCTTCTTATTAAGTAAATCTACTAGAAGGGGACATCATCTTGTTGATACTCTCTAAGCAAAGATTGATTTAACACATTCGTTTCATTAATGAAATTTCTTAATTTATGGTCAATCTGAGGAAGAGAAAGAAGTAATATCACTTTTAGTTTCAATGAACAAATTTGGTTTCATATTTCCTATTTCGTTGTAACATTCCTCATTAGTGAAACCTCGGGAAAAGAGAGCAAATATGTTAAAATTTGTAAAATATAATCTGAGATCAGCACTTACCTAATCCCTTTCTTCTGCAAGATCATGCGATATCTCAGTAATGCCAGAAGCGGATCACATTATATATTATGCAATATATTTGCTACTAGCTAGGCCATTTGGAATGAATCATTCAGCAAGTATTCCCAATAGGCCTATTGCTTTCTTCAAATTTCATTCCCAGAAAATACATAATTCTCTATTCTGCTATTTGATATCATTCTATTATCATATCATTCATTCTTTCTTTCACGCTGTAATCAAACTATTATAATCGTATTTTTGGTAGTATTTTAATGTGTTCATCAAATATTTAATATCAAAGAAACAAAAGAGCGATGTATGATAGAAAATTAATAAAATAACAGACAAAAGTTAGTTAATATGCAATAAAAAATTAATATGAACATTGAAGAGAACATTGAAAAGAAAGAAAAAAAAATAAGAGAGGAGAGTAGAGAGAGAAAATATCGATATCATGTGAAAGGTTGTTCATGTCATGCTAGTTTCTTCTTCTCCTTCCTCTTCTTCTCCACAACTGTACTGTTATTTGCATGAATTTATTTTTTTCTTGTCAACCATTTTGTCAACTCATCAAGCAGATAAATGAACTAAATCTGCTAATTTACTCCTCTCCATTCCACTTTACTCCTACAATTTGCGCCAATTCCAATCATCCATCTACAAATTCACTCATTTTTGCACAGTTTGATGTAACGAACTTTTCAAAAAAAAAGAGAAAAAAAACAAAGAAAAGAAATGTAAAAATTTGTTAATATTTAACAAGAAATGAACAGAAATTGAAATCGATATATCACCAAGGAAACGCGTGAAATATTCACGTATCCAAGGTAACTTAAATCATTAAACGTACTTTCATATAAATTCATGAAAATAAATGATATATCAACAAAAAGACGGAAAAATTTCGTGTAACATACACCTTAATGATATTTAATTGATAAAATTTAATTGATATTTAATTATATTTAATTGATAAAATTTAATTGATATTTAATTACATTTAATTGATAAAATTTACTTGAAAATGTGCATGCAAGCATTTTGCGTTGAAAAAAAAAAATAAACAAAAAATAAAATGAGAGATGATGCGTCAAAACTAGAAATTTTACATTGAATAATTTAATCATTCATATTAATAGTAAATTCTTGCTTTCGAATTATTACAAATGTAACAAAATTATTTTATTCATTTTTTTGTTTTTAGCTTAAATTTCCTTATTTATCTTTTATCTCAGATATAGATATAGGACAAAAGAAAAAATAGTAATGATAATAATAAATGAAGATTTCTATGATGTGAGTGTAATAAAATGAGAGACGATTTCATATATAATAATTGAGATTTATTATTAATCATGAATTATTGTTGATGAGAATTTAATGTTAACCAAAATTTAATAATCAGGATTAATGAGCATGTTAGTAATTAGGTTAGTAATTCCATTAAAATAGTTTTATTATTTATTGCATAATTTAATTTACAGTAATATAGGCGAGGTGAAATTGCATTTTGAAACTTTGATAGTTTTTTTCTCATGTAACATTTATTAAATTTCTCATGGAAAAGATGCCATGTGAAATATATTCCTTTTCCTCTTTTAAATTTTATGCTTTCTAGTGACGCAAATTTTCGAAAAAATTCAAATTGAAAAGTTTACTTAAGCGTATGAATCATTCCAAACAAACTCAAAATTTAATTTTTCTTCCTTCATCCATTCTCAGAAGCTTTCAATTATTTTAAGTTTCATTCCATTTATTCCCATTTTTTTTGAATTTTTTCCTCTGCTTATTGTAGCAAAAAAAAATTGGTAGTCTTACTAATTACTCTAAATTCATGAAATGCATAAGTTAAAAAAATTTTAATAACAACGATTATATGAACGATTATCGGTTAATTTTCTTCCAATTACTCTTCTCTATGCATTTCTCAAAATCAAAAAAAAAGACATAAATCAACCGTATATACATCATTATAAGAAATACAGTAATCGTATACGATATTCTTACAGTACCACCGATTGCATTACAACTATTAATCCTTCACAATATTCTCATTCTATCTTATCATACTGCTTTTATTACGTCATTAATAAACGAAACACTATTATTAAATTGCCAGAATACTTAAAAATTATTGATTGGTGAGATGACATACAAATTGCAAATTTGCAAGAAATATGATGATTATAAATGCATAAAGTGAATTTTAATGGTCATTTGCTTTTGTATTATTGGTGACAGAGAGCTTATCTGGAATTTTTATTCCTACTTTTCATCAAATTAGTACATTTTATTTTCTCGTCTCAGAATTGTTTATTCAAACAAGCAAATCAATTTGAAACTAGCCATAATTAAGCCTTTTTTATGCAACTTAAAGTTTAAAGTTAAAATTAAATTGTTGGTAGATATTTTCCATGAATTTTGTGAAGATTAGAATAAAATTTGATCAGTCGATTTCTTATATTTGTTTAATTTTACTTCTTTTTCTTTATGTTCACTCCATATACAAAAGAATTTATGCTTTGATCTGCGTAAAATTTAAGACTCAAATTTAGATGCTTAAATTTTGAGTTTTGGACTTATTTGATTGTTTCGTAATAATTTTTGCACTGTTCGAAGAAAAATGCATGATAGCCGTTCATTATCATATTTTTCAAAATTTAAAAAACTCAAACTAATTCTACTATTTTTAGCGTATTATTTTTCTTCTCTGTCTCTCCCTTTCTCTCTGTCTCCCTCTTTCTCAGTACAAATAAAAGTAATGACATTTTCCAATACAGTCATACATTAACCAAAAGAGGCTTAATAGGCGCACATATAGCCCAAATTAATTTAATTAAAGCTACACTTTCCAAATTAAGCAATATCCGGGACAGCTGACATATGCCAATTGATTTTATTCTAATCTTAAATTGAATTAATCAATTAAAATTGTAGTAATAAATTAATCGATAAAATATATTTTGGAAAAATTATTTCATCTTTACACTCTACCGAATGCTGCATGCTAAATGATTATAAATGGTTAATTTGTAATCAATTGCTAAAGAATGAAAAATTAATATCGGAGTAATTTTAAAAAAAAGCATATCAAAATTTGAATAATTATTTCTAACATGATATTACAGATAATGTGTTCACCAATGGGTCCACCAAAAATTGCTATAGGTGATAAAATAAAGGATCAATTTTTGGTGAAAAAAAAACTTGGCGAAGGCTCATGTGGTATGGTATATTTGGTATTGAACATTAAGGATGCCAAGGTATCATTGTAACATTTCCTATATAGTATATATGATAATTAATTAATTCCTGTTAAATAGTCAAAAAAAAATGGAAGTACATGCAATCTAAAAAAAGGGAAAGAGGAAAAAAAATCCTATTTTCGAGATGTAATCCGCATCAATTATTTCAATTCCGTAAGACATGCTAAATAACTCACATGAATTGAAGTAGGCATATCATTCTAATGAAAAAAACGATGTAATAGCAATCTTAATTTAATGAATTACTTAATAACAGCTTATATAATATCTAATAAACACTAATAAATGAACATACAAAGTATAAAAATGAAAGTGACAATGTTAATTATAATATTTTCAACTACTTAACTCGTAGAAAGCTGCCATGAAAGTGGAACCATTAATGAAATCAAAAGATGATGAGATTTTAAAAATGGAAGTATATGTATTGAAAAAAATGCAACGGTCGAAGCATGTATGCCAGTTATTAGCTGCTGGTAAAACGTCATCCTACAAGTATTATCACATGTTATTTTTAATTTTAAATTTTTAATTCAATAACATTAGCTTCAAAAATTTATATTCAACGTTTTAATCAATGACAAGTGAGAATAATTAATCTTCAAATATATTACTTTTCATGTTGTCAATATATGAGTGAGGAATTTATTTATTCTAATTTCATCCTTTTTTTTTTCTTTTTCGTTAAGCGACATTCTTTTTTGTTTTAAATTTTTATTTCTTTTTTATTTTAATTACATATTTGATATGATAGTATTGATATTGTATATGCTTGAATTTCTTATTTCAAGCAATATTTACCTTTTGAGGAAAATGAGAATGTGAATTCGTTAGATATTGGCTAATGTAAAGATATCGGTGTGCACTTTGCTCCTTAATTTTTTGATTACGTAATGGAACAAATTTTGATTTTATTGGAATGAAACATATTAACATTATAAACATACACTAATTGATTAATTATAATCGAGAGGATATTAAGTGTAAATTTTAAATTTGAAGAGTGAAAAAAAATTCTGATTATTTAAGTCCTCATTTCACCATCTTCTTAAGTTATATATTCTCCACCAAGCAATATACTTATCTTCTTGGAAAAATAAATTCGTTGGGAAAGTAAATTTTGCCCAAACAAGCTAACACTTTATATTGCAAATATTCAATAATATTTCAATACGATTTTTTTAAGACAATGTTATCTATTTACAAATTTAAAAGAAAAATTTAATAGCTTTCATCAGTTTTTTTTATATATTATAATTCCTTTCATAATTTCGGATTACAATTCCATTTTGATATTTCTTTTTCTCTGCAAAAATATCAGAATGAAATTGTAATTCAAACTTTAAAATAAAAGAAAAATTAGCCATAAATTCAATTTAAAACAAAAATTTAAAATGAACATCTGCTGTAAAGTTTAACTTTCAGCCATACTCACATCAACTAGTGCAAAAGGTGAGGGAAGGGAGGAGAAAAAAGAGGGGAAAAAAAGCACTAATTGATGGCTACAAAAAAGTAAGATAAAAATAAAAAGCAAAGAAAAGAAAGAGAAAAGAAAATGTCGTACATTAACACATTTTTATTTTCAAAATAAATTTTTAAAAAGAATTAAACAAAAAGTAAAAGAAGTAACGAATGAAAGAATTAGCAAA